AGAAATGAAAGCCATCAGGCGTGTGCTGACAGCTGATCTAGTCATCAGTCCTTTTACACTAAAGCTCCAGCTCACCCAACTGCCAGGGAACCGAGAAGTCTCAAGGTGTTCGGGGACCACTCTGGGAAGGGACTTTTATTAAAGTGGATCTTCTAAAAGCTATATATGACAAACCCACAGCAAGCATCACCCTCAATGGTGAAAAATTGAAAGCAATTTCCCCTGAAACCAGGAACAAGACAAGGGTGCCCACTCTCACCACTCCTATTCAACATCATTTTGGAAGTGTTGGCCACAGCAATCAGGGCAGAAAAAGAAGTAAAAGGAATCCAGATAGGAAAAGAAGAAGTGAAACTCTCTCTGTTTGCAGATGACATGATCCTCTACATAGAAAACCCTAAAGACTCTACCAGAAAATTACTAGAGCTAATCAACGAATACAGTAAAGTTGCAGGATATAAAATTAACACACAGAAATCTCTTGCATTCCTATACACTAACAATGAGAAAACAGAAAGAGAAATTAAGGAAACAATACCATTCACCATTGCAACAAAAAGAATAAAATACTTAGGAGTATATCTACCTAAAGAAACAAAAGACCTATACATAGAAAACTATAAAACACTGATGAAAGAAATCAAAGAGGACACAAACAGATGGAGAAATATACCGTGTTCATGGATTGGAAGAATCAATATTGTCAAAATGGCTATACTACCCAAAGCAATCTATAGATTCAATGCAATCCCTATCAAACTACCAACGGTATTTTTCACAGAACTAGAACAAATACTTTCACAATTTGTATGGAAATACAAAAAACCTCGAATAGCCAAAGTAATCTTGAGAAAGAAGAATGGAACTGGAGGAATCAATCTGCCTGACTTCAGACTATACTACAAAGCCACAGTCATCAAGACAGTATGGTACTGGCACAAAGACAGAAATATAGATCAGTGGAACAGAATAGAAAGCCCAGAGATAAATCCACGAACCTATGGTCACTTTATCTTCGACAAAGGAGGCAAGGATATACAATGGAAAAAAGACAACCTCTTTAACAAGTGGTGCTGGGAAAACTGGTCAACCACCTGTAAAAGAATGAAACTAGAACACTTTCTAACACCATACACAAAAATAAACTCAAAATGGATTAAAGATCTAAATGTAAGACCAGAAACTGTAAAACTCCTAGAGGAGAACATAGGCAAAACACTCTCCGACATAAATCACAGCAGGATCCTCTATGACCCACATCCCAGAATATTAGAAACAAAAGCAAAAATAAACAAATGGGACCTAATGAAACTTAAAAGCTTTTGCACAACAAAGGAAACTATAAGCAAGGTGAAAAGACAGCCCTCAGATTGGGAGAAAATAATAGCAAATGAAGCAACAGACAAAGGATTAATCTCAAAAATATACAAGCAACTCCTCCAGCTCAACTCCAGAAAAATAAATGACCCAATCAAAAAATGGGCCAAAGAACTAAACAGACATTTCTCCAAGGAAGACATACAGATGGCACAAAAACACATGAAAAGATGCTCAACATCACTCATTATCAGAGAAATGCAAATCAAAACCACAATGAGTACCATTATACGCCAGTCAGGATGGCTGCTATCCAAAAGTCTACAAGCAATAAATGCTGGAGAGGGTGTGGAGAAAAGGGAACCCTCTTACACTGTTGGTGGGAATGCAAATTAGTACAGCCACTATGGAAAACAGTGTGGAGATTTCTTGGCTGGAAATAGAACTGCCATATGATCCAGCAATCCCACTTCTGGGCATACACACTGAGGAAACCAGATCTGAAAGAGACACGTGCACCCCAATGTTCACTGCAGCACTGTTTATAATAGCCAGGACATGGAAGCAACCTAGATGCCCATCAGCAGACGAATGGATGAGGAAGCTGTGGTACATATACACTATGGAATATTACTCAGCCATTAAAAAGAATTCATTTGAATCAGTTCTAATGAGATGGATGAAACTGGAGCCCATTATACAGAGCGATGTAAGCCAGAAAGATAAAGACCATTACAGTATACTAACACATATATATGGAATTTAGAAAGATGGTAACGATAACCCTATGTGCAAAACAGAAAAAGAGACTCAGATGTATAGAACAGACTTGTGGACTCTGTGGGAGAAGGCGAGGGTGGGATGTTTCAAGAGAACAGCATCGAAACATGCATATTATATAGGGTGAAACAGATCACCAGCCCAGGTTGGATGCATGAGACAAGTGCTCGGGCCTGGTGCACTGGGAAGACCCAGAGGGATCGGGTGGAGAGGGAGGTGGGAGGGGGGACCGGGACGGGGAATACATGTAAATCCATGGCTAATTCATTTTAATGTATGACAAAAACCACTGCAATGTTGTAAAGTAATTAGCCTCCAACTAATAAAAATAAATGGAAAAAAAACCCCAAAACTATAGGACTGAAAAAAAAAAAAAAAGAAACTGTACCATGAGTTACGGCCTACGCTTAGACTATCAGGAAATATACACTGCATAAAAATGTAAAGGCCAAAAAGAAGATAAAAAAGCACCTCCTCCCAGACTAGATCACGACTCTGTCCTGCAGAGCTCTGCAACACCAGGCCATGTAAAAGCATCACCAAAGCAAAGAGGGACAGAGGGGGACGGTGAAGGGCAGGCGGGTGGGGGTTGGAAATGAAAATGTGGAGCAAGGAATAATAAGCAAAAAATAAATAAATAAATAAAGTGGATCTTCTCTCCCACTAGGGCATCCTTGGTGGCTTGGATGGTAAAGAATCTGCCTGCAGTGCAAGACACCAGGGCTTGATCTTTGGGTTGGGAAGATCCCCTGGAGGAGGAAATGGCAACCCACTCGCGTATTCTTGCCTGGAGAATTCCATGGACAGAGGAGCCTGGTGGGCTACAGTCCAAGGGGTCACAAAGAGTCGGACGTGACTGAGTGACTAACACTTTCACTTTTTCTCTCCCACTAACACATTGTAAATTCGGCCACCCCTGGCAGCAGCGGTTTCTCCATAGTCTTCTATGGTCCCTGAAGCTAGAAGAAACCTTTCCTCCATTTGGGTCTCTTGGTAATTTTGCCTTTCTTACACTAATAATGACACCATTAGGAACTAGCACTCATCAGGAAATGACTATGTATTAGATTCTGTGTAACACATTCTTTCCATGAATTACCTATATCTTCATGACAAGCATAGAAGGTACATTCTGTTAACATCTTTTTACAGATCAAACTAAAAGTTCAGAGAAACTAAGTAACTGCTCCATGCCCACCTACTTAATGGTTGTGGAGCCACAATTCGACTCCCAGAATCCATGCTATGACCCCATAGATTATACTGACTGCCTAGGTTCTCTAGGGGACAGGACCCATATGCTATCCATCTCTACATCCTAAGTCTTCCCTTTCTCCTGCTGCTGCAAAGATAGAGACTTGCCCAAATGTCAATATGTAGTTTTGGATTTAAAACCCAGAAGTGAATTGGTCTTTGTTTTGTTTTTTAAATTTTTTTATTTTTCCATTTATTTTTATTAGTTGGAGGCTAATTACTTTACATCATTGCAGTGGTTTTCGTCATACATTGAAATGAATTAGCCATGGATTTACATGTATTCCCCATCCCGGTCCCGTGAATTGGTCTTTGGTTTCACTCTGGGCGGGAGAACAGGCTGGCTTGTTATGACTTCCTCACTGAGGGACATGAAGGGGTCACATAGCAATGTGAGTTAATTGAGAACAGAATTGAAGGTAGAAAGGTTTCCTCCCTATGCCTTGAGAATTATAAACCATGTGAAAGTCAAACCATGGTTGATTGTCAGGGTAACCTAGAAGGTTCTTCTTCTCCCTCACCCTGTTTAATAAACCAAATCTATTTTCACTTGGCCACCCAGTTGAATACACCCAGAATTCTACCATCTTCCATAAGACACCAGTAGAGAAAGATCTTTAATACAAGTCAGCCTTTGAAAGTAGTTAGTATGGGAAAATGTGGTTTCTATAGACAAAAGGCTCAGTCCTGAGAACATGATGGCACCCGACTATCTCCCAGAACAGAACTGAGGACACAGTATTTTCCTTGTCCTGATGTACATCTATACTACTCCAGCTGTCCTTATGTCTCCTCTGCTTAATGGAGAAAAAGTAGGATGACCAGACGTGGAGTAAAGAGAAGGATAAAATGTGCATCCAAAAAATGGGCACTGGTGAGGGAAAAAAAAAAAAATGCTATTTTATGTTTAGGAATATAGTTCACTGTCTAAACCCCTGGAAAACAGAGAAAAACAAACACAATTCAAGTGATAGATTCTTTAGCTGTTATTAAGCCAGTTCTAATGGGCTGCACTGGCGTGTGTGCAGGGGGAGGGGTGCAGAGAGAGGGAGATGAGAGCTGAGAATAAAGGGAAGAAAGAAAAAAAAAATGGGGTCAGTGAGTTTCCAGGCTCTGCAACAGGGAGGTTTGGCAGCTCTGGCTCCTAAGGAAGCCAGGCCTTGTGATTCATCACAGACCAGATTCCTGCTGACTTCAAAGAGAGATGTTCAGGGAGAAGATGCCAGCATCCAGGAGGGAGGCAAGTCTGGCCAAGTAATTGTCATGACCCCTGAAAACGTATGCTACTCATCTAGAGGTGATACTAAACTATGGTTTGTGTAGTAGTCATCACCCTAGCAAAGAATGGGAAAGAGAACTTAATGGTCTCAAGCTGAGGCATCTCTCTCTTCCTCTCTGGCCCTCTGCTTTTCTTTTGTGGAGGATGACATTGTTGTTTATCTTAACATGTCTCAAAGTCCTGAACTTTGGGGAAGGACAGCATGGATATAATTCTTTTGATCTTTTTATCAAAAATCAGGGCAAAATTAAAACCTCATTCAATCAGAAAAGATTATAGGTGTTTGGCCTTATAATTTGCTAGCCATCTGGTCCTGACTCCACAATCAAGTGACAGGTGAGTCTGAACTGCTGCTGCTGCTGCTGCTAAGTCACGTCAGTTGTGTCCAACTCTGTGTGACCCCATAGACGGCAGCCCACCAGGCTCCCCCGTCCCTGGGATTCTCCAGGCAAGAACACTGGAGTGGGTTGCCATTTCCTTCTCCAATGCATGAAGGTGAAAAGTGAAAGTGAAGTCGCTCAGTCGTGTCCGACTCTTTGTGACCCCGTGGACTACAGCCCACCAGGCTCCTCCATCCATGGGATTTTCCAGGCAAGAGTACTGGAGTGGGGTGCCATTGCCTTTTCCGGTGAGTCTGTACAGAAACAGCTAAAGCCATTTCCAGTGTCTGCATCTTCACCACATACCTCCTCAAATGGTAGAAAGTGCCTAGGAGACTTTGAGGGTAGACCCTGACAATATGGAATAGTAAAAGTTACACTTCGTACTTTTAAGGAGCTTCCAGTCTAATTACGGACATTAACAGACAGAAGAAGCAAAACACAGCTGCAAAGTCTGTGGGTTCTGAGCATGGCCAGATGGGCCCAAAGACTAATTGTGGGCTTGTTTCCACTTGAAATTTGACTTTTTTATTTTGTTCACTGCTTTCAATTTCCTCACCTTTGTGGTCTGGATGAAAATCAAAGAGCTCAATTTTAGACAAATGGACAGTTTGAGGTGATAAGTGGAAAATGAGAAGGAATTAAAATAGTGCAATGGGAAGGTAAACGTTAGTGGGAGGAGGAGGGGGAGATCTGAAAGTCATCTGGAAAGAGGGGATGGCCAAAGCTTTAGGGCATCTTTGAGAAAGTGAGGGGAAGAAATGCTGAGGATAGTAGCAGGAGGTCAAGCATAACCAGGGTGAAGATGGCAGGGAAAGAGGAGGACCAGAAGAGAGGCGTCTGGTGAATGGAAGGAGATAAGTGTTTCTCAGGCAAGGGGAGTCAGGGTTGACAATTACAGTCATTCTGTAAAATCTGTTAAGGCAGGGACCACACCTGTTCAACTCACTGTTATTCCCAGGACTTAGTACAGCCCATGCCACAAAGCAGATACTCATAGATATTCATCTAATTAAGGAGATTGTTGGGATCCAGCCTTAAGTTCAAAGCCTCCATTCAAACACAGGAGTAAAGGATGCCGTTCTCTCAAGTAACTAGTTTTCTGTTTTAGCAATGTATCTGGTGCTCAATAAAGTCAAGTCCATTTTTAAGGCAAAGGTGAATCAGGGTGGGGTAGAGTTCCACGTTGATATAGATTTATCCAAATTGTGGTTTTGTTTTGTTTTTAAAGATGATTTTCACAGATTCCAAATATGAAACTCAATATCATTCACTCTTCAAAAGTGGTGAGAAAGTTCTATGTTCTGAAAGGTCACAGTGGGTAAAGAAAGTCAGGGAAGGCTAGAGTTTTAAATTCTGCCTTCTGTGAGAAGCGGGATGTGGTGGGTCAAAGTGGAGGAACTTTCACTTTCACAGTGCAGTTAACTCTCTTAGCTAAAGGTTAGTAATGTGTCAATCATTGGGCTGAGAGAGGAAATACTTTCTCTGAAGAAATTGGCCAATGCTTTATCCTTTGTCATTGTGGTCTGTGAACTTTCGCTATATTCACAACATGAAAAGTAGATAGGAAACTCTGTTTTGAACGAGGGCTAGATTAGTATCTAAAGAAAAGAGAGAAAAATGAAGAGATGCAATCCCAGGGCGTGGGAAAGCCCCAAGGAAGGGGAAGGGAGGGACATTCCCCAATTCCCATCCAATGTCGCCATTGTTAGTAAGACCACAAAGAAGGAGGCGGATGGGTGTGGCAGACAGGAGGTTACCGGAAGAGGGGACTATGAGAAAGGTCAGGTGAGGTGGGGAAAAGACTAGGGAAAAGTTACGCCAGGTATTTCAGACCCTTCCAGAAAGAGCTCCAGAGCCAGAGAATATACATCCTAGTCTATGCTCTGGTATATCAGAAGGTTTCAGATCGGTGTTGTATCAAAAGAAAGCAAAAGACAAACTCTCATTCAAACATTCTCATTCCTAAAAAAGGTAGGAAATATCAAGGTATTGGGTAAAGACAGAGCACAGACTTTAGAGGCAGACAAACCTGAGTTCAGTGGACATGAACTTGAGCAAACTCCAGGAGACAGTGGAGGACAGGGAAGCTTAGCATGCTGCAATCCAAGGGATCACAGAGAGTCAGACATGACTTAGCAACTGAACAACAACAGACTTGAGTTCCTTACTTACCTCAGGAACTTGATCAAGGTACCTGTTTATGTGAATAAGAAAAGTTAGTCTTTCTTCATAGATGTGGGTAGGAGAATTAAATGAGATAATATATGTAAAAGGATCTAATGCATAGTGAATGCTCAACTAAGTAATCTATGCTGGTTCAGGAAGAAGGCAGCACATGGTTAAATGCAAGAAACAATTGGTTCACATCCCAGCCCCACAATTTACTTCCTGTGTGACTACAGCAAGATTTTTAACCACTTGGGGCCTCACATTATTTCATCTATATAATGGGTATAAGAAGATTTATCTCTCAGGATTTTTATGGGCAATAAATGACATGATATTTATAGCCCTTAGCATAGTACCTGGCTTATATTAAATGCTCTAAATAAATGTGTTAGATGCTATCATTGAAAGATAATCAAAAGCTGTACATGCACTAAGTTTAACATTAAAAAATTTCTACATGAGAGATCCACTGTGGGTTATTTATTTATTTATTTATTTATTTATTTATTTTGGAGAAGGGGAAAGTAAGACATAAAAGGCAGAGTATGTGCACAGAACTGTAAGATACATGTCCCCATGACAGAAATAAAGAAGGCAGAGATTCACTGAGGGGGGAATTCATGGACATTTATGGTCACATTATTCTGATTGGCTGAGGGGATCAGCAGGCTTCTGGCCAGTTTTCTTTCCGTTCACGGAAATAAAAGTTCAGTGTGTTTGAAAATGAACTAAGTTTATTCCCCCTTATTTTTCTTGATAGGAAGGATTTATTTATGTAGTCAGAGAAGGCTTGTTTCTGCTAAGTGAAAATTTGGCCTAGGGAGTATAATAATAAGCTAAATGGAAACTGGATAAAAATATGTTTATTATGACATTATTTAATTTGTTGATATCCCTACATTCCCCACCTAATACCATGAAAGAAATTCTCAAATAGTAATACAGTTGGTCAAACTGTTTAAAGTGGGGTCAGCTTGTCTTTATCTGTCTGAGCTGGATCAATGGCTAGTTTCTCTGAGCTGGTTACCTTGACAACCCAACAACTCCTCTCCAGATGTGCCATCCACATCAGGGTTGTGCATATGAGAAATGCAGAATCTCATGCTTCGAACTTCAGACTTACTGCATCAAACCCTGAATTTCAATAAAATCACCAGGCGATTTATCTCTAATATTAAGATTTGGAAAGCGCTGAGAGTGTAGAGTTGAGGCCACATAATCTTAATCATTACAGTCATCACTTCAATCCAATTAACATGGACAAGAGCTATGATAATTAGGAGTGAGTAGATATACATGGAAACATTTCTTACTTGATAGATTTCGCTCAGTGCAATAGAGAGTTCCCTTAGCTCATGAAATCTTAGGAAATAAACCTGAAATTTAAGAAAATAAAATGATGAAAGTATGACAGTAATCAACCAGAAACCATGTGCTCAACAGAACAACAAAACAATCAGGTTCTGTACTTCCTTAGAGTAGATTCAGCCTGGACTTTAGAACTTCACCTCAGCCACATTATAACCAGGTGACTTTGGGTAAGTTGCTGCAACAAGTTTCTTATATCTGAAACGAGATGCTAACGGAACCTACTTCATGGACCTACAGGGTCTACTTTAAGTTACGAGGCTTAAATGAGTTAGTATGAATGCAAAGAACACACAAATGTCTGTGTCAAGATTAGTTATTATTAAGCATTAGACATTTTAATATTATTAGATATTATTATGAATAATGCCTTAGTTTTGTTGGATTTCACAGTCCCCTTCTCTTTAAACAATTTTTCCCAACATAATTCCATGGTTTAAATAAAAATAAATCTGAAGAAAAATCTTAGAGTATTGATAAGCCCCTTGGATGACTTGGAATTTCCAAGACTTCACAGCCAGGTGAGTGGAAGATGCCTGCTTTGGGTCTGTGCTCAGTCCCAGACTCTCCAAACCCCAGAAGACTCATAACCACTACAACACAGGAGTCTTCTAAAGAACCACCCTTCCCAGAGGGCAGTGTGTGTACAGGAGGAGAGGATGCTTAGAAATTTAAAACTATTTTAAATAGTTTATCTACGACATCCTCCCTTTTTGGGCATGTCTCATTACGGGTTTGAACAACTTGATCATAATCATCGAGGCACACACAAAGCAAGTTACTAAGATATTTGTTCTTCGTCAATACCCATCTGATAGACTTGAACCAGCAAATGAACTATGGATATGGCACAAACTGGGCATGTAATTTGCATTTGGTTCTTAATGAAACCTTCAGGCCAGTCTAAGTAGTCAAGTCACATATGAAGAGATTTGATCAGAGCCAACAACAGATGATCATGGGATCAAAAAATCTGAGCCAATGATTTCTTTTTAGTTCTTTTCCAGAAGGTTTAAAATATACCTTCCTTTGTGGAGAAGCCAAGATGAGGGGCTGCAGGCCATGCTTATGCTCCAACCTAGTGAAGAAGGAAAAGCAGTACAGGTTAAGTAAAAGGACACTGATGGTGATAACTTTGGGACCAGCCAATGTATGTTGTCATTCATAAAAGGTGCTAGCAATCCAAGAGGTTTTGAGAGGACATTTGCACACCGCGAAAGTTAAAATAAAGTTGCAAAATTCAAGACTGGCTCCCAAGCAAAGCATTATGCTGAAAGTGCTTAGGTTTACCAGGTGAGAAAACTGAGGCTGAAAGAGGTTAAAGCTTCTCACAACTGGTGAAGGAATTCATTTAAATCCATGGGCCTATCATCCTCATTCTTCTGTATTAGTTGACAAAGGCCATCTTCTGCAGAAAACCATCTACGTCCTTCTCTTTATGTGCTCTGTGCTCTAAATTAGACTACTGTTTCCCTACAGTCTCTTTTCTAATACCTTACTCCGCATTCTATCTCTAGCTTTACAAGACTCTCTGTAACCCTCCTTTATCTCTCACCCGTCATCTCCCTGGAGCTCTCACTTAGCCTGTTCTAATGGGAAAGGCTTGGGCCTTTCCCAGAGTTTCCCCCAATCTCATCCCTCCAGCATCAGGTGGGGCTTAAGAGGCAATGTCTGCCCCGGACTCCATACTGCTCTGACATCTCTTGATGTTGATATTATTACCCAGGTTTGCTGGTCTTTTTTCTGGTGGTCA